AAATTACATTTTAATAGATAGTATTTTTCAAATTTTTAAAATGCTGGAACTCTATGTTGCAACTGATAATGGTCTGTGTAGGAAAAAAAAACAAACATAGTATAGACAAATAAATATTATTTTGGATCTGAAAAAAATATCCTGTAAAGTAAAAATAAATCATCCAAAGTGAGAAAGAAAAATCTCGAATCTATTGATTGTGTAGGTTATCTATAAAAATTTTTTTCGAAGTAACATCAATGATGAAAAATTAAATAGATTTTAACATTTTTAAAAAACTCTTATAATTCAGTATTTCGTATTTTAACATTTTAAAAAATTCCTATAATTCGGTATTTCGTAGCTTCTAAAGTGGCAACTATGAGTAATTTTATAGGTTAAGTATAAACATATGCATTTTTTTATCTCGTTCAAGTTTCGAAATTAAAAATTCTATTACAATTCCACTTCGATTATAAATTTTATTGCGTTTCATACCGAGTACAAGGTAAAATATGCAAAAAAAAGGAAGATAGACGTATCGTGCGAAACTCGGAAGGGAGACGCTTCCATGATTGCTTTATCGATTTACGTAGTTGCACAACAGTTCTTCGTAACAGAGAGAATTCCGTCGTTGAAAATTTATGTTGGCCCTGAAAAGGGCCGTTTGTTTGAAAATACAGGGATGATTACACAAATTAACCACCAAAACCATAGAGGGTTCTTCCTTGACGTTTCAAAGCGTAGACAACATCCATAGCCGTTACGGTCTTTCTTTTAGCATGCTCAGTGTACGTTACCGCATCTCGGATAACATTTTCCAAGAAAACTTTCAGTACACCTCGCGTTTCTTCGTAGATCAATCCAGAAATACGTTTTACACCACCACGACGAGCAAGGCGGCGTATGGCTGGTTTCGTAATACCTTGGATATTATCACGCAAAACCTTTCTATGACGCTTCGCTCCTCCCTTTCCCAATCCCTTTCCACCCTTTCCACGGCCAGTCATGGTGTATCGTGATCAGTCTTGGTCGAAAAACAGCAACCAAATGTGTCGTTTTCAACCTAGTCGCTGCTTTTATACTGGCGATTGTGCAGTCTCCCCACCAATTCACGCTCGGCCAATGAGAGGCAGCCGAGTAGTTACATCTGAGAGGGGAAATTTCTCACCAGCGAAATATATTAAGTATATGTTGAACAATGACCTGGTTGCATCCCGACTGTTTTTAACAATGCCTGGAAAGGCAGATGTAAAATGCAGCCATTCTATGAACCCTTTTAACAGCTTTAAGTTGCATAGAACTGGAATATATTGTTGTTCCATATCCGACAAGTCCAGTATCCAAAAAAATTCTCATTCGGTAGAGAATAAAATTCCTCTTACACATAATTTCAAAAGAAAGGTATCTGCATCACTTACCGATTCTTTGCCTCACGTACTGATTCAAACAGAAGCAACTAAATCGCAGATAGACGGAAATAAAAAATTGCCAACAATCTCATAAGAAATTCAGACATCAGAAATTCATCGAATCTCTCATCCATATACACAAAAACTCGTTACAAAAAAGTTTCAATAAATACTAAAAGTTTAATACTGAAGATTTTTCTTCTCTATATTAGGGAAAATATACAATTTTATACTTAAGCACAAAAAAATGCCTAACAATATATAGCAAAAATATTTAATAATTACAGTACTAAAATCCCAACTGAGAAAATAATAGAATCTATAAAAAGACAAGGATTTGAAGTATTTTATAAACACAAAATATTTCATTCATAATCGGTGTTAATAGTCATTCAAAATCGATATCAGTAAATAACAAATAACAATATAATTCCTAGAAATCTTTAAGATTTAATGCGAGACTCTAAGAAACAATTCAGCGTTTCCAATGCCAGGCATACATTGGCAAATTGCAATAAAGGCCCTACAAGATCAAATTCAATAAAAAGCTGCAAATATAAATTCATTTATTCATTCATCGGTAATTTTACTTAGATTTAATACAAATTCACTATATTCTTTGCAAAAACTATATATATAATATTTAAACTATTGTTTTGGAAAAGAAATATCAATTTGTAATAATCTTTTAAATAATCAATTTGTAAATTCAATCTCTACAGATTACATGTATATTATACATTGTATAAAATTTTTACTTATATTCAATTCTAGAATATTACCAAAGATGATATAAATAGCAATTTCCAATATTTATAAAGATAATAATAGTAGTAATAAAATGTTATCCAGAAAATTTCATAAATCTATTTAAAGCAGGACAACATGAATTAAAGAACTATGAACAAAAGAATAAAAAGATCAATAATTTGAAGAACTCTGTACTTCAAGATAATAAAATTAAGAAGCACCAATAAAAAGGATATACATCTAATAAATATTTGTTTTAAAAAATATAAAATATAAATATTTGTTTTAGAAAATATAAAATATAGCTTATAAAAATGCAAAAAATGTAAAAATGTAAAAAACAATAAAATTATACATGGTTCGTCTTTCCAATTATTTTCCCATGTATCTGTTTAGATTGTAATTCTCCTTTATTTATTTTATTTACTATGCTAGTTGTGTTTGTCTGCAAAATGTGCGAATAAGTTAGGTACTTATGTACAAAACTATTCTAGATACTTATGTACAAAATTATTCTAGATACTTATGTACAAAATTTATGCCGATTTGTATCTTTAAAAATATTTGATTGCTAAGTCTTTGTTCACGGATAAAAAGCTTTGTCGCTCTTTTTGATGAAAGAAATTGACTATCATCTTCGTAGGCACATGGTATGGCTCACACGTCTCTTGTTTTGGCGGGAACTGGTCGATAGCATAGACTAGAGAGATTATGCTAGAATGTTCCCGTTTAGTGACTCCCTAGCACTGCGTTCAATTTTATGTACAAGGTTGGAAATATAATGGTTTAAAATTCACTATTCATTTGTGTGTTTCTTAATCTGAAAGATTAATATAGAAAAATATCGTAAAAAATTAAGTATATAAAAAAATCTTTATGCTTCTAAGAAATTATTATAGTAGCGATGAAACGCATTCTCTATACTTCAATTCTTTCTATCTTTTCATTTTCTATGACTCAAATTAATAAATTACCGAGTCAATGAAATATTTTACATATGGATAGAAAACAGAGATGTGTTCCTTGTAAAAAATATTAGTGGCCCTGAAAAGGGCCATTTGATTTTTGAGGGGTAATATTGTTGAAAAATAATTATTTTTTTGCTGGAGACTTGACCGTTTTTGGTGCCGCTGCCTTCTTAGGTTTAGGTGTTCTGGTCTTGGCTGCTGGTGCTTTAGCGGTCTTTTTAGCCTTCGACATGCTCTTGGCTTCACTAGTTGCTTTCGGTTTTGCAGCAGCTACCTTGGACGCACTCTTCTTTGCTGGAGCCGGCTTCTTCTCAACTGCAGCTTTCTTGGGTGACGCTGGCTTCTTAGCGGGTGCAGTCTTTTTCGAGACTGTTTTCTTCTCAACAGATTGTGCCTTCTTCGGTGCGGACTTCTTAGCTGGATGTGGGACTTTCTTGGCTTTGGATGTCTCGCTCTTCCCAGTAGAAAGCTTGAAGGATCCCGATGCTCCCTTGCCTTTTGTTTGGACAACAGCACCAGACGTCACAGCGGACTTCAAGTATCTTTTAATGAACGGGGCAAACTTCTCTCCGTCGACTTTGTAAGTGGTGGCAATGTATTTCTTGATCGCCTGTAGAGATGATCCTTTGCGATCCTTTAACTCTTTAATGGCAGCGTTGACCATCTCAGAAGTTGGTGGATGAGAAGCCTTTTCGCGTTGCGCTTTCGACTTGCTTTTTGACGACTTCTTTGCCGGTGGAGATGGATTTTCGGCAGATTCTACCGCGGTGCTACTAGAGTTCGCTTTATCTTCCATTTTTGTGAAAATATTTCAACAACAAACGGTTTTTTATAAAGTGTTTGCAGATAGCTAGACGTATGCTGCTCTCGGTTAATGGTAGTTAGCTTCGGTGTCAGCGGTATTCTTTCTTAAGCGCGGACCATGGAGAGAGTCTCACCCAATATGTCGGATGCCGCGATTCCGTGACAGCGAAGAAGCGGTAAATATACCTTTACTTTCGACCTTTGTTTCTCTGTATTACATGCATATTAACAAGCAATCATTACGTGAAAATATAGCTCCGTGTTTGTAGTTTTATCTATTCATTGATTTTCGAAGATATTCACTCGTTCAATCGAAATATTGCGCCGTTCGACGAAGTCCGTCTTTTCGATGCGATAGAACATCATATAGAAAAAGTTAAAAATCTAAACATTTACGCGAAAATTGGCATAATACTTATATAGAAAATTGTAAAAAAAGGACTGCTGCTAATTTACGTTCAATCGTTTATGTCCTACTTACAACGGATAGTTAAAAAACTTGCTTAATATTCGATCGCTTAGTGATGTACAGCGTGAACCACGAATGTTCTATCATTGGATTAATATCAATTCCCATGGATGTGTGAAATATTCAATTTATATATCCAGAATGAATTTTTATTGTATCTTTCATGTTCTTAGTATCTTCAAATGAGAATTCACGATATTTGATTTTAGTTAATCATTTATATTCGTTATACTTTCTTTGATGGAGATCATGATAGTATACACGAGAAATCTATGATTCAGTATATGAATTGGAGATGCTGATATCAAAATACTTCCTTCAAATCACTCATCTGTAGTTCGTTTTACTATAAATTAATTAAATTTTCACATTAGAAATTCTATTACAACTTTATATGAAAACGTAACAATTCAGTACAGCATCAAATTTTTTTCTTTTATAATAGCATAAGCATTACTCTTTTATGCCACATACTTTACAAAATATTTTTATTATAAAAACGTTCTCACTTGTATATTTTTTCAAATATATTCTATGCATATAATTTGAACATCTTAAACAAATTTTGCCTCTTACCCTATCATAGTGTACTATATGTAATAGCTTTTTTATACACAGCACAAAAATCTTGACATTCTTTTATTAAATGATTTTTTGTTTATTAATAATCCATTTAAAAAGAGAGAATAATATTTCCTACACAATTATTTGATACTCAGATGAGCATTCTAAGTTCTAAGTTTTTTACATATATTATTGAGAAAATATCACGTACATATATATGTCAGGTAGTCTAAAAAGTATTGAGCCTTTTGCTCACGAGATAGCGTTAGTGTCCCAAATCTCAGGGCATACGAGTCGCAGCGGGTCAGGAGGAACATCATTTAATAGTTAATATTTAAAACTAGTAAATGTGCAAAAAGTATTGGAATTCTTATACTCAGACGTAAGTTATTATCCCGTGAAGATGAGTGAACTTTCCGCAAAACTGCGCTACATTTTACAATTTTATTTCGATAAAGGCACAAATGCTGCGCAGGCCCGTGAAGAAATTTGTGCTGTTTATGGGCAAGATACGTTATCAAAAGCAACAGCCAAAAGATGGTTTAGTCGCTTTCGCTCTGGAAATTTTGTTGTTCAAGATGCTCCTCGCAGTGGGCGACCAATCACAGAAAAAGTGGATGATATTCTAGCAAAAGTCGAGCAAAACCGGCATGTAAGCAGTCATGACATCGCCAAGGACCTAAACATCCATCACCAAACAGTGTTAAATCATTTGGAGAAAGCTGGCTATAAAAAGAAGCTCGACGTTTGGGTGCCACATGATCTGACTCAAAAAAATTTACTCGATCGAATTTCTATCTGCGAATCTCTACTGAAACGTAACGAACTCGAGCCATTTCTGAAGCGGTTAATAACGAATGATGAAAAGTGGATAACCTACGACAATAATATGCGAAAAAGATCGTGGTCAAAGCGAGGAGAAGCCACACTGACGCCCAGGAAGGTTATACTGTGCGTTTGGTGGGATTGGAAGGGCATCGTGCATCACGAGCTGTTGCCGCCAGGTAAAACGATAGACTCGGACCTGTACTATCGACAATTAGAGCGATTGCACCTAGCAATTCAAAAGAAACGGCCGGAACTTATCAACGGAAAGGGTGTCGTATACCACGCTGACAACACCCGATTGCATACATCTTTAACGACCCGTCAAAAATTGAGAGAACTTGGCTGGGAGGTTTTAATGCATCCACCGTATAGCCCGGACCTGGCACCGTCAGACTATCATTTGTTTCGGTCTCTGCAGAACTCTTTGAACGGTGTTAAGTTAATTTCAAAAGAGGCCTGTGAAAACCACGTGTCACAATTTTTTGACCAGAAACCACAAAAGTTCTATAGCGACGGGATTATGGTGTTGCCAGAAAAATGGCAGAAGGTCATCGAACAAAATGGGGCATATGTGGTTTCATAATGTTATTTTAATACAATAATAATAATGTATTTTCAATTTTGATCTCCAAAGGCTCAATATTTTTTAGACAGCCTGATATTAATATATACATACATAAGCAAAGTCACAGATATTACTACAATAAATAGCTTAGAACAAGAATAAAGGTTTTCAGAATTTACTTCATTTATAAAATATGATAAGAAAGTTTACGATTAGAATAAAAACTTGAGGGAATCGCATAAACTACAAGACACGTCATCATTGATTTGCTTGTTGCGCTGAATGAAAAATCTACGTTCTGTGATATGGAAAGAAATAATAAAATCTTAAATTGAATATTTATTCATGTGTTAAATAATAAAAATCATATTGTATAAAGATTTATGTGTTATTATTTCTTATTGTTTGTGCATTATCTTTCTGCATTATCTTTCTAACACTAGTTTGTCCGTTCATCAAAAAATTTAAGTATGGAGAGCACGCTAAAGATCGTAAATCCTGACATCTGGTGTAAGAAATTTTTACTTTAGTTAACAAAGTTTTAAAAAATGATTGAAACGTAATTGTGAACGGAAATAATAATACAGTTGTATAATTTTGTTGAATCTGTTCAGTTTGTTTTATTTAATAACTTCATAATACTGTATTCTTTCTTCAGAAATAACTTTCCTTCTCGACCAATTAGATTTCATGTTGTCAAGCGATAGTAGTTCCATCTATATGGAAGCCATTTCTATAATGGTTCATGAATGTTGATTTCAAAATAAATATTAACAGTTAATAAATTTCATGAATTAACTAACGAATTTGTTATGTACATTTTTTGTAAACAACTGCACTTTTTATGAATTAAAAATATGTGATAATTTTTTACATATGAAATTACGATGAAATTAATAATTCTAAATACTATGAGACCTGGTACTTTTAATATATTGAGGGCATTATCAGTCTTTCGCTTTCGACGCTAGTTATGTAAAATTGAAAAATATACAATCTTTCCTTAGTAAAAATTTTGTCATAAATAGCAAATCAATCAATGTTTTTCTTTAGTTTTTGCTAAAATTTTAACGTATCAACGTTTTTTCTGTAGCATAAAAATTGTATTGTGTTAATGAATATCCTTAAAATATTTATACATTTTTGGTTATATGAAAGCATCATGTAATAGTTGCTAGTAGCAAAACAGCATTCTAACCTAAAATTTCGAAATATGACAAAATTAGATTATATTAGTAATATCAACATCGAACTTATATTTCTGGTCAATCAATACTTCTATATATTTATAACGATATTGTGATGCTTTTAATGCTTGTATTTGATATTTTCCAACTTAAAAATGTACAAGTATTAGGAAGTAAAATATTTAAGAAATTTACATCATTGATCGCCACATTGAATGCTCCTCAGGCATAAACTGCGCAAGTCCAATAACTGCAAAACACCGCGGAAAACAATTAGAAAAATGGCTTGCAATACTTCCTAAATTATTATTGTAACAAAACAAAATGTCGAAATGCGAATGTTATTTTACACTATATTTAATTCTATATTAAATAATAATGAAAACATACGTACAAATATATAGAAGTGCAATTTATTATTTAAATAAATTTGTTATTATATTACAGTACTAGAAATATGACTTTGAAAATCTACGAGACGATTTATCAAAACAGTTAAGTTATAACCAAGATGTTTCACGTTGTCACAAAATTGTTGGCCCTGAAAAGGGCCGATGATTATGTTGTATGATACTGCAATGTTTACTTCGAGCTGGTGTATTTGGTGACAGCTTTAGTACCCTCAGAAACAGCGTGCTTAGCCAATTCACCAGGCAATAAAAGCCTGACAGCGGTTTGAATTTCCCGTGATGTGATGGTGGATCTCTTGTTGTAGTGCGCCAAGCGCGATGCTTCGGCAGCAATACGCTCAAAAACATCATTTACAAAACTGTTCATGATGCTCATGGCTTTACTGGAAATACCAGTATCAGGATGGACTTGCTTCAACACTTTGTAGATGTAGATGGCATAGCTCTCCTTCCTCCTCCGCTTCTTTTTCTTATCAGACTTGCTAATATTCTTCTGAGCTTTACCAGCTTTCTTCACAGCTTTTCCGCTTGCTTTCGGTGGCATCTTCAGAACTCGCTTTCGTAGACTTGAATTACACTCGACTGTTGTGAGAATTCAAGACTGAATGTCGAATGCCGGCTGAAGGCTTCTTATATATCGTGAAATGCAGCAGCACCAGCGCGCCAATGGCGTGCGAGCTGACACGCCATTGGTCGGTTGGTGTTCGTAACGGTTGGTCTATAAAGACACGGCTGGAAAGACAGCGGCATATTTCTCTCTCACATCTGTTGAAGTGCATTTGTAGTACTTACTCGATTTTCAACGTGAAACATGTCTGGCCGTGGCAAAGGTGGAAAAGCTAAGGGAAAGGCGAAGTCTCGTTCCAATAGAGCTGGCCTGCAATTCCCTGTTGGTCGCATACATAGGCTTCTTCGTAAAGGAAATTACGCAGAACGCGTTGGTGCAGGGGCACCAGTGTACTTGGCAGCTGTTATGGAGTATTTGGCGGCAGAAGTGTTGGAATTGGCGGGAAACGCTGCCCGCGACAACAAGAAAACAAGAATTATTCCACGTCATCTTCAGCTTGCCATTCGTAATGATGAAGAATTAAACAAATTGCTCTCCGGTGTAACTATTGCTCAAGGTGGTGTCTTGCCGAATATTCAAGCAGTTTTGTTGCCAAAGAAGACTGAGAAGAAAGCTTAATTGTATAAACATCTACAAAACTGGCCCTTTTTAGGGCCACAAAGTATTTCACTACGAAGGAATTTCTTGGTTCATGCTATGAAACCTATGTTTAAAATTTGAAATAAATATTCGAATATCCAGACAATTGGCAATATTGGTAAAAGCACTTGAAATCTGAACTTCGTCTTTTACGAAGGTTACGAGGTTTTTAAAATAGAATGTATTCAAAATATGAGTACTTTTGTAGCAGTTCATTGATATTTTTTTTCTACTAAATATCGACACAATTGATAACTATTGAAATAAACATCGGAATTGTTACTTTTAAGTACTAATGAAGACGAGAATAACGACAATGAGTTAAAATGATAAAATTTCAATAAGTCGAGACACTATTTAAAAGTAAATGACTCACGTTACTCAGAAATAAAGAACTGAAATAATAATGTACTAAAATGTTAAACTAAAGTAAAATCAGGAGACAAATTTTCGTCACCGTAAGGATATATAAAACAATCAATTCTTTTAGTTTACAGTACTTTGAAGGGCCTTTTATTTTATGGTATGAGTAACGCTTTAGTTTACCGTATGAGTAACGCTTTCTTTTCTAGTATCAATAATTACAGAACCTTCGTAATTTTTGTAGCGTTTGTAACATAAAATTAGATTATCATACGAGACTTTAAAACTCAGTTCAATTTAGTCATTTACTTACATTTTAGTACATTTTTTAAAATTTTACTATCTGGTAGATACTATGTGAGAAATTTTAAGGTAATAGAAAATTGATGAAAAAATTGTAAAGTCCGTTGATTGCACTGATATATATTAAGCATTTTAATTTTCTAAATTTGTAGAAAAACGCTATTAGAAGCGACATAACTTTAGAAGACTTTTAGTATAAAGATAAGTCATTTGTTACAGGAAAAATTCATTCATTTCATACGCATAGCAACAAGCAAAATGCTCCATGCATAATAATTTTACAAACGTCATGTTCAAATTCCAACTGTAGGATATTTCAGTCATGTAGTTCAGAAACCTGGAGTTCTACATTAAAACAAATTATGGCCCTAAAAAGGGCCGATTGTTTATATTAGCTATTTAAGCTCTTTCTCCACGAATACGACGA